ATATGATTTGCGAACTTGCTTCATTGTTATCATCGTTGACTCTTATACTATAGGTACAACCACGATGACAAGTGTCAAAAAGGACGAAACTAAAAAAGTATGTTACAATGTTTAACGGGTGTTTTACACTTTGTGACAATGGAATGACGTTGACGTTCAATATTTTGTGGCGTTTTTAGAGTTTTTTTTCGCATTGTGTTAAGGAAAAGTATTAGAACGCAAAAGGAAATAACAGTATTAACAGTACCTGAAAAGCGTCTGCAACCTAGTTAGATAAAGAAATGTTCAGATGAGAAGACGTTTTGCATAATTGAAGATAATAGGGTCCTGTTTTTTAGTATACGAAACTGCAAAACATTTCTTTTTATTTAGTGAAAAAGGATTGGTTTTGAACCACTCAACGACAGTATTAATGTTGGTTTGAAGAATCCTGCAATAATCAGTAGTAGTTTCTATAAACAATTTCAGGTCATCTGCAAATAACAACTTTTCAGAAGATATGTGTTCAACAATGTCATTAATAAAGAGTAAAAACAAGGGTGGTCTCAAATTTGGTCTCTGAGGAACTCTTGACGTCGGCGAATATATTTCTGAATAGAAGTTACGATATCGTATTGACTGCATTCTACTAATAGGGTACGACCTGAATAGTTTAAGTAATGACTCAGAGAAGCCAAATTTAAACATTAGTCTACTGTCAAAGGTAATCCCCAGGCCTTTATACTTTTCTCCACGATTTAGGGTAGCTGCATCGATGCTACAATTAGACAGGTCAAACGATTTTATTATGTTTGACCTTAATTGTACTAGTCTTCTCATCTGAACATTTCTTTATTTAACTAGGTAGTAGTGCACCGGTACTACTTCCAAGCAGAAATTTTTAAACTGAGCACGTCCTCAGAATAACCGCGATCTAGTCTCCTATTTTAGACTCTAGTTGGCGCTGCGCTTCATTAAGTTTAAAGTAAGCGTGCAACAATATTTGGAAGTGCTGTTCTTGTATGTTAGGGTGGGTGGGACCGAATGTTCAGATGACAAGACTAGCACAATTAAGGTCGAACATTATAAAATCGTTTGATCTGTCTATTTATGCAAAACGTCTTCTCATCTGAACATTTCACCATGCCCGTAGTATCGCAGAGTACCAAGAGTAAAATTATTCCATTTGTCCAACATGTGTATGACACGAATTCTCCCAGAATTACAATAGAAATTTGTGTCTTTTAATGCCAAGCAGATTACGTAAAGTTATAGAATCAAATGGGGCAATGACAAAACATTAATTATTGTATAAATTTAGCAGTTTATTTTTTGTTATTTTAATAAAGTTTTACTGTTGAGACTTAGTGGCTTTTTCGAGAATAAGCTTTAGCACTTCATTATTGCCACCAGGAGGTCGATCGTACTCTCTGCCTTGTTCGTATGTCTCTGTAAACAAATCGCAACTACGATCTTTTTTACAACTATTAGAATATGATTTGCCAACTTGCTTCATAGTTATCATCGTTAACTCTTTTACTATAGGTACAACCACGATGACAAGTGTCAAAAGGGACGAAACTATAAAAATAGGTTACAATGTTTAAAGGGTGTTTTACAATTTGTGACAGTGGAATGACGTTGACGTTCAATATTTTGTGGCGTTTTTAGAGTTTTTTTTTTGCATTGTGCTAAGGAAAAAGTATTAGAACGCAAAAGGAGATAATTAACAGTACCTGAAAAGCGTCTGCAACCTAGTTAGATAAAGAAATGTTCAGATGGGAAGACGTTTTGCACAATTGAAGATAATAGGTTCCTGTTTTTTAGTATACGAAACTGCAAAACATTTCTTTTTATTTAGTGAAAAAGGATTGGTGTTGAACCACTCAACGACAGTATTAATGTTGGTTTTAAGACTCCTGCAATAATCAGTAGTAGTGTCTATAAACAATTTCAGGTCATCTGCAAATAACAACTTTTCAGAAGATATGTGTTCAAAAATGTCATTAATAAAGAGTAAAAACAAAGGTGGTCTCAAATTAGGTCTCTGAGGAACTCTTGATGTCGGCGAATATATTTCTGAACAGAAGTTACGATATCGTATTGACTGCATTCTACTAATAAGGTACGACCTGAATAGTTTAAGTAATGACTCAGAAAAGCCAAATTTAAACATTAGTCTACTGTCAAAGGTAATCCCCAGGCCTTTATACTTTTCTCCACGATTTAGGGTAGCTGCATCGATGCTATAATTAGACAGGTCAAACCATTTTTTTATGTTTGTCCTTAATTGTACTAGCCTTCTCATCTGAACATTTCTTTATTTAACTAGGTAGTAGGGCACCCGTACTACTTCCAAACAGAAATTTTTAAACTAAGCACGTCCTCAGAATAACCTCGATCTGGTCCCCTATTTTAGACTCTAGTTGGCGCTGCGCTTCATTAAGTTTAAAGTGACCGGCAACAATATTTGGAAGTGATGTTCTTGTACGTTAGGATGGGTGGGACCGAATGTTCAGATGAGAAGACTAGTACAATTAAGGCCGAACATCATAAAATCGTTTGTCTGTCTATTTATGCAAAACGTCTTCTCATCTGACCATTTCACCATGCTCGTAGTATTGCAGAATACCAAGATTAAAATTATTCCTTTGGTCCAACATGTGTATGTCACGAATTCCCCCAGAATTACCAAATAAATTTGTGTCTTTTAATGCCAAGAAAATTACGTAAAGTTATAGAATCAAATGGGGCAACGACGAAATATTAATTATTGTTTAAATTTAGCAGTTTATTTTTCGTTATTTTAATAAAGTTTTACTGTTGAGACTTAACGGTTTTTTCGAGAATAAGCTTTAGCACTTCATTATTGCCACCACGAGGTCGATCGTACTCTCTGCCTTGTTCGTATGTCTCTATATACAAACCGCAATTACTATCTTATTTACAACAATTAAAATATGATTTGCCAACTTGCTTCATTGTTATCATCGTTGACTCTTATACTATAGGTACAACCACGATGACAAGTGTCAAAAAGGACGAAACTAAAAAAGTATGTTACAATGTTTAACGGGTGTTTTACACTTTGTGACAGTGGAATGACGTTGACGTTCAATATTTTGTGGCGTTTTTAGAGTTTTTTCTCGCATTGTGCTAAGGAAAAAGTATTAGAACGCAAAAGGAAATAATTAACAGTACCTGAAAAACGTCTGCGACCTAGTTATATAAAGAAATATTCAGATGAGAAGACGTTTTGCACAATTGAAGATAATAGGGTCCTGTTTTTTAGTATACGAAACTGCAAAACATTTCTTTTTATTTAGTGAAAAAGGATTGGTGTTGAACCACTCAACGACAGTATTAATGTTGGTTTGAAGAATCCTGCAATAATCAGTAGTAGTTTCTATAAACAATTTCAGGTCATCTGCAAATAACAACTTTTCAGAAGATATATGTTCAACAATGTCATTAATAAAGAGGAAAAACAAAGGTGGTCTCAAATTAGGTCTGAGGAACTCTTGATGTCGGCGAATATATTTCTGAATAGAAGTTACGATATCGTATTGACTGCATTCTACTAATAAGGTACGACCTGAATAGTTTAAGTAATGACTCAGAGAAGCCAAATTTAAACATTAGTCTACTGTCAAAAGTAATCCCCAGGCCTTTATACTTTTCTCCACGATTTAGGGTAGCTGCATCGATGCTATAATTAGATAGGTCAAAGGATTTTTTGATATTTGACCTTAATTGTACTAGCCTTCTCATCTGAACATTTCTTTATTTAACTAGGTAGTAGGGCACCCGTACTACTTCCAAACAGAAATTTTTAAACTGAGCACGTCCTCAGAATAACAGCGATCTGGTCCCCTATTTTAGACTCTAGTTGGCGCTGCACTTGATTAAGTTTAAAGTGAGGGTGCAACAATATTTGGAAGGGCAGTTCTTGTACGTTAGGGTGGGTGGAACCGAATGTTCAGATGAGAAGACTAGTTCAATTAAGGTCGAACATCATAAAACCGTTTGATCTGTCTATTTGTGCAAAACGTCTTCTCATCAGAACATTTCCTTATCTAACAAGGTAAACGTTTAAAGAAATATTGTTGCCCAACAATCTTGGACGTCAATTTTCTGTCATTTTAAAAATTTTAAAGTTAAAAAAATTTTCACATCAGTGTCACGTTGCATTACATTCATTGTCACCATGCCCGTAGTATGGCAAAATACCAAGATTAAAATTATTTCTTTTGCCCAAAATGGCATGACATACAGCCAAATTTCGGAGATTTTGGAGACACCGAAGAGGACCATTCATTTTGTAATGCAGGTGGAGACAACACGGGACCATTACAAGACATTACAAGGTTTAGGTAGACGCAGAATCTCAATACCTGTAATCGATGAGGCTTTGATAAATATTATGCATAACAACCCCTTTGCTGCGGTCGTTGTAGCAGTGAAATGCACTAACTTTCCTGGAAGTGGTGCAGTTTGATCTCTATCATCACAGCGCATTAAGCCAGGATTTCATGTGCTCCCTTTTTTGTTGTGGAGAAACATCCAAAATGACTTAATATCTATTGAAGCTGTAGGGTAAACGAAGAAAAATGTTGCTTCTCCGGTGGAATCGAACCGCACGTTTACTGCTTGCCGGGCGGGTGCCCTTACCACTAGACTACGGAGGAGCTTATCTTTCTTTACTTACCACTACTTATTATTGTGTCGCCATAAAGCATTATTTTCAATTTTGCGCATGAATATTCCATACCTAAACATTTTGAATAATCACTTTACACTTGGAACGATAGAATTTAAATAAAAGATAGTGACGAGCAGTTTTATATTTTTTATACAGTTTGTGCAACGGCTTGGCCTCCGCGTTCACCACATGTCAATCCGTGTGATTTTTGTCTGTGTGGTTGGATGAAACAGTTAGTTTATGGAAATCAACAGTGTCCAAAAACTATCAAACGAAGACCTTCTAGTACAAAGATTTGAACAATTGGTTTCTAGATATTTATTACCAATTAAATTTGCTTTGTAAAATTACAGATTTCAGCTGGAATCCATCGCTTCGAAAGAAAATCTAGACCCAAGTTACCCCACTCTTCAAGAAGTAGTCATCATTATCAAAAACTCCTCGTAACTGACTTCTCCATCGCCGTCCAAGTCAGCTTCTCTGACCATCTCTTCCAACTCTTCGTCGGTTAGCTTGAGACCCAGGTTGGTCGTCACAGTGCGCAATTCAGCTTCCGAAATAAACCCGTTGCCGTCTTTGTCGAACACCCGAAATGCCTCACGAATCTCCTCTTCACTATCCATGTCCCTGGCGTTACGGGACATCATCACCAGGAATTCGTCGAAGTCGATTGTGCCGCTGCCGTCGGCGTCCACCTCGCTGATCAAGTCTAGAAGTTCCGCCTCCGTGGGGTTTTGCCCCAGAGATTTTAAGACCACCCCCAGTTCGTCCGTGGTGATGCTGCCGTCACCGTCTTTGTCGAACAACGAGAAGACTTCTTTGTACTCGGCCATCTGCTCCTCGCTGAGTTGGTCAGCCATGGTTGTGTTAGTTTCGAGGGACGGAAGGATATTTGGGGGCGAAAACGACACTGACAGATGGTTTTGTCAGAAAATATTAGCCAACTTTTTCAAAATATTTTTTTCTAAGTTTAATTTTATTATGACCCCAGAACTCTGAAAAATCAGGTGGGTTAATTTGGCGGCGCCAGGTCCAAGAAATTTAAACCCCGTGAAATAGAGGCATTTAGCGTTTCCAGCAAGCCGCTCCTGAGCTGCGGAATAAGTCTTCATCCGGCTACTTACGCGGCATTGTCGGCATTCCGCTCGCGAGCCTGCGAACATCTCTTCCAGCTTGGCGAAATAGTTTTGTTTCGAGTGGTGAGCATTACTTTAAATAGAGTCAGGTCGGAAGGGCCCCTTTATGAGTTTTACGAGTCAAGCTCGCAGCAACGACGTGGTAAATATATGCAATCATGTGTAATTAGGGTCTGGCGTCGCGACGCCGACGTCGCCGTAAAATTTTAGGCACGTAGCTCGTACACAGATCGTTCGGTTTTAGATTTTAGATAGATCGAATTCTAAAAGTAATATTGGCGTGTGTACTCTAAACGAAATCCCGGCAATATCCCCGGCTGGCGTAATATCTCGCTGTTTTTATAGGGTTCGAATCCATATGGCTGGCAGTGAGCGAGCAATGGCCCGCGCAAGCCGCGACCTGACGCCCGTTTCCGTCCCCAGTCTGTGCCGCCACCCCTCCTGGTACGGCCCACCGACACTCTAATGTGACACTGAAACCGGCAGTATTATAAGTTGGGCTGAAAGGCTAACTTTATCCTGCCTCGCGTGGATGACGCGTCTTTATTACTTTAAGGCAAACACGATGGAGCAACGCAGTTATCAAAATATTTCTGCATGAATGAGGAATTTTCAGGAGGAATATTTCGCGTGGGGGGATGTCAGCCTCTCACTGTACAACTCCTGTCATACATGTTTTTATTAGATTATGAAATGGGGAAATATTTGACGTAATATCGAGCACGCGAAATATATAACCCCTTTTACCGAATTTTACCGCACAAAATGATAGAAAGGGAACGTCTTTTCAGACGGATTTTGTTTAAAATTTTTTTTCAACGCTGACCCATTTTCTCTCATTCTAATCCCCACTTATTACAATGTAATGACTGTTTTTAATCCTTAGGGAGTTAAAAAAAAAAATAAACTCCCGCTTCATGAAAAGCTCTACAAGAGCTTTTCCTTAAATACCAAGGATGATATTGTTGTCTAGATTGGCTTCACCTTGTCGTTGGTTGTTAACGTAATTTTCGGGCTTTTTTGGGATACATGGTGCCTCGTCCGCACATTTTTTTTGTGGTTTTGTAGAGTTACAAATTTTGGCAATCCTGTGTGTAGTCAGACTGCACTTTTAATGTTTGAGCCACAAAATCTTGTCATCGTCTTAAGTCGTGGTAACAAAACTTAGCGCATCTTTTCAACTTTTTGCATTCTACTACTTGCTCCCATGTAAAGGATTGTCAAAAACAAATCTAAGACATTTAGTTGGACCCAAACAATTTTGGCGTTCTGAATTGTCCAGGCTTATGTAAATGGGAGTCCGAAATATCCTTTCAACTTACTCAAAAAATAAAACACTATGCATCCCAAAAGTCCTTCAACTTCTAAAAAAGTAAAACACTTGGAGACCCCCAACATTATTTCAAGCTCTTGAAGAAATAAAACACTAGGGACCCCAAGATTCTTTAAATTTCTTAAAAAAATGAACATTAGGTACCCCTGAGATATCTTCAACTCCTTTAAAATACAAAACGCTAAAGGCTACCAAGATTCTTTCAACATCTGCAAAAAAAGCACTAGAAGTCCCCAAGATTCTTTCAACTCCAAATAGTAAAACACTATGAATCTCCAAGAATCTTACAGTTTCTTTAAAAAATAAAGTACCAAGAATCCCCGACATGATTTCATTCATCTTCTTCAAAAATGAAACATTGGGACAGCCAAGATTCTTTACATTTCTTCAAAAAATGAACACTAGATGCCCCCGAGATACTTTCAACTCCTTCAAAAAATGAAAAACTAAAGGCTCCCAAGATTCTTTCAACTTCTGATAAAAGTAAAACACTACGGGCTCCCAGGATTTTTTCGGCTTCTTTAAAATATGGAACACTAGGCATTCCCGAAATTATTTCAACTTCTCCAAAAATAAAACTTTGGGAGCCTCAAGATTATTTAAATTTCTTCAAAAAGCGAACGCTAGGTGCCACCGAGATACTTTCAATTTCTTCAAAAAATGAAAAAACTCTAGGCTCCCAAGATTCTTTCAACTTCTGTTAAAAGTAAAACACTACGGGTTCCCCAGATTTTTTCAGCTTCTTTAAAAAATGGAACACCAACGATCCAAGACATTATTTCAACTGCTTCAAAAATAAAACACTAGGGGTGCCAAGATTCTTAAAATTTCTTCACAAAATGAACACTAGGTGTTCTCGAGATAGTTTCAACTCCTTCAAAAAACAAAACGCTAAAGGCAACTAAAATTTGTTCAACTTCTGCAAAAAAAAAACACTATAAGCCCCCAAGATCCTTTGAACATTTTCAAAATATAAAACATTACGAACCCCCAGAAAACTTTAAGTTTTTTAAAAATAAAATACCCGGGATCCCCGACTTAATTTCAACTTCTTCAAAAATGAAACATTGGGAGCCTCAAGATTCTTTAAATTTCTTCAAAAAATGAACACTAGGTGCCCCCGAGATACTTTCAATTTCTTCAAAAAATAAAAAACTAAAGGCTCCCAAAATTCTTTCAATTTCAGCTAAAAGTAAAACACTACGGGCTTCCAGGATTTTTTCAGCTTCTTTAAATAATTGAAGATCAGGGTTCCAAGACATTATTTCAACTGCTTCAAAAATAAAACACTTGGGGCCCCAAGATTCTTAAGATTTCTTCACAAAATGAACACTAGGTGTTCTCGAGATAGTTTCAACTCCTTCAAAAAACAAAACGCTAAAAGCTACCAAAATTTCTTCAACTTCTGCAAAAACAAAACACTATAAGCCCCCAAGATCCTTTGAACTTTTTCAAAATGTAAAACATTACGAACTCCCAGAAAATTTTTAGTTTTATTAAAAAATAAAATACCAGGGATCCACGACTTAATTTCAAATTCTTCAAAAATGAAACATTGAGAGCCTCAAGATTCTCTAAATTTCTTCAAAAAATGAACACTAGGTGCCCCCGAGATACTTTCAATTCCTTCAAAAAATAAAAAACTAAAGGCTTCCAAGATTCTTTCAACTTCTGCTAAAGGTAAAACACTACGGGCTCCCAGGATTTTTTCAGCTTTTTTAAATAATTGAAAATCAGGGATCCAAGACATTATTTCAACTGCTTCAAAAATAAAACACTAGGGGCCCCAAGATTCTTAAAATTTCTTCAAAAAATAAACACTAGGTGTTCTCGAGATAGTTTCAACTCCTTGAAAAAACAAAACGCTAAAAGCTACCAAAATTTCTTCAACTTCTGCAAAAAAAACACTATTAACTCCCAAGATTCTTTCAATTTTTTTAAAATGTAAAACATTACTGGCTCCCAGAAAATTTTCACTTTCTTTAAAAAATAAAATACCAGGGACCCCCGATATTCCTTCAACTTCTTCAAAAATAAAACACTGGGGGCCCCAAGATTCTTTACATTTCTTCAAGAAATGAACATAAGGTGCCCCCGATATCTTTTCAATTCCTGCAAAATATAAAACACTAAAGGCTCTTAAGATTCTTTCAACTTTTATAAAAAGTGATTATTTCAGTATCTTTCAAAAATAGAACACCAGTGATCCTCGACATTTTTTCAACTTCTTTAAAAATAAAACACCAGCGACTTCAAGATGCTTTAAATTTCTTCAAAAAATGAACACTAGGTGCCCTCAAGATACCTTTAGCTTTTTCAAAAAACAAAACGCTAATGACTACCAAGATTCTTTCAACTTCTGCAAAAAATAAAACTGTAGGGGTCCCCAACATTATTTCAATTTCTTGAAGAAATTAAACACTACAAACCTCCAAAATTGTTTTTACTTCTTCAAAAAGTAAAATACCCGCCCCCACAGGACTATTTCAATTTCTTTAAAGAATAAAACACCAGTTATTCCCGACACTAATTCAACTTTTTCAAAAAATTAAACGCTAAGGGCTCCCAGCAATCTTTCAAATTCTGCAAAAAATAAAACACTGGGAGCAACAACATTATTTCAACTTGTTGAAGAATTGAAACACCAGGAACCTCCGAGATACTTTCAACCTCTTCAAAAAGTAAAACTTGTTGAAGAAATGAAACTCTACGATCCCCCAAGATTCTTTCAACTTCCTTAAAAAATGAAACACCCAAGATTCTTTCAATTTTTTTAAAACATGAAGCCCCAAGATTCTTTCAACTTCTGCAAAACATAAAACTCTACAGGCCGCCTAGATAATTCGACATCAAAACAAAAAAATTGTGATCATAAAATTACTTCAACTTCTTCAAGAAATAATACACCAGAGTCCCTCCCAAATTATTTCAACTTCCTCGTAAAAACAAACACTCCAGAAATCTTAATATTTCTTCAAAAAACAAAAGAGTAGGGAATTCGAGATTCGTTCAACTTTTTCAAAAGATAATAAATACAAACTTCTAAGATTCTTCCAGTTCCTTAAAAAATAAAACGCTAAACTCTACCAAGATTCTTTAACACTAGAACGACGGAGGCGGTCATTTGACCGCTTTCGAATTTTTTATTCTTGATATCTCTGGTTTCATAACGTATTTCGTTATCATCCTTCGTGACAATTATTTATTTGTTCTTGATTGTATGTGGAAAAAATCGCAATTCAATAGGACTGTTCGTCACCTGTGTGAGGATATGTCTTCCTAGAAAGACGGAGTGCGGTCATTTGACCGCTGCAATAAAATCGCTTCAAAAATTCTCGAAATAATTTAAATTACCTCATACCACGTACTGTTAACATCTGGACTTAATTTCCACTAAGATGGTTGGTAATTTTCGTGGTAACTTAATTTATTTTGGCATTGCACGTGATTACATTCTT